AGTAGGGAGTTTCAAATTATACATGCCTGTTCACAACTCTTCCTTAGCTAAATAATCAACACCCACACTCCAAAACCTTGTCCTTGTTGAGAATTGTTGTAATTGAGAGGCACTGTTAGGCTGGAAAGGTGCCAAATTCCTTTTAAGTGTGCTGGGATAGGAAAAAAGATGCAAATAACTGATTTAGAGCCTCTGTACCTAAATGTGTACTTTCTCAATGTAAAACTTTTTTTTTTTTTTTACGTAATTGCTGGTTCTAGCAATCCTAACTTCAGTGACCAAAAAAACCAAACCCATTGCTGTGGAGTCAATTCTGACTCATAGTGACTCTACTGGACAGAGTATAACTGCCCCATAGGATTTCCAAGACTGTAATCTTTACGGAAGCAGACTGTCACATCTTTCTCCCGCAGAGCAGCTAGTGGATTCAAACTGCGAACCTTCACTTAGCGGCCAAGTATTTAACCATTGTGCCACCAGGGCTCCTTCTACTTCAATGAAGTGGTGCTCAAATCCTCTTTTCTGCAAATAAGTGGAAATTATAATGGTTATTATGAGTCACAAAAAGACAGAAAAGAAAACAAGGCTGCTAATGATGAAGTGAATCCTGTGACTATAATAAAATCTTGGCCATCCAGAAACCCTTGAGGATTTAGTTATTATTATGGCAAATAGTCCAGATTGCTGAAATTTTTTTTATCTTATAAAGTACCAATTTTTTCTTTATAATTTATGACAAGTTCTCTTTTGAAATATATTTTATTTGCTTAAGAACAAGTATTTTAATGGTGAGTAGTGACTAGGGTCTTAAAAGCAAGTAGCCATCTAGATGCAACAACTGGTGTTTCCTCACCCAGACCAAAGAAGAATAAAGAAAATAAATTAGTCCAAGATACTGTTGGACCATGTGAACATCAGCCTATATGAACCTTAAACCAGAGGAACTAAATGGTGCCTAGTACCACTGTCACCCACTTGGAAATGGATCAAAATAGGAGATCCTGGATAGAATGAGGGAAAAAATGTGGAACAAAACTCAAAATCATAAATAAGACCAGGCTCACTGGTTTGATAGAGCCTGGTACGAGATTATAGACCCTAGTCACCTTTCGAGCCTGGAATTGCACTCACTCCCATGGCTTCCAGTCAAACAATAGACAGTCGTATAAGGTGAACATCTAAACCAAGTAGGTACTCTCCCCAGAACAATCAAGCACGGGAGATCGGAAGGGCAGTATTTGCAGAGAGAGAGAGAGCTCAGAGGACAAGAACGCATAGGAAAGATAGACACAAGTAAAAGGTAACCCCAAAGGGAACGTGGGAAGAATGCTGTTATATAATGGGGATTGTAATCAATGTCACAAAACAAGATGTGTATGAACTGTTGTCTGGAAAGTTAATTTTCTCTATAAACTTTCACCAAATCACAATTAATTAAAATTAAAAAAAAAGAAGTGTTTTAAATTATAAAAGTAATACACAATCATAGGCAAGACTTCAGCAATTCAAAAATACATGTAGTAAAAAGTGTAAGTTCCTTCCCTTACCACCTTCACTCCCTAAGGGTAATCACAAACTTCAGTGTTAGCTTTCTAGATCTCACCCTAAATATGTATAAAGTTTGTACATAACATACATACAGCTCAAAAGTACTAAGATCTTACTATACACATTCAGTTCTGCACCTTGCTTTTTACACTAATGGAGCTCTTGGGGCACAGTGGTTAAGGCACTCAGCTGTGAAACAAAAGGTTGGTGGTTCAAACCCACCAGCTATTCCACAGGAGAAAGATGAGGCAGTCTGTTTCTGTAAAGGTAACAGCCTTGGAAATCCTACAGGGCAGTTTTACTCTGTCTTATAGGATCGCTAAGAGTCAAAATTAAGTCAGTTGATAGTGGGTTTGGTTTTTTGGTTTGAATCAAATAGCCGTTTCAGTCTAAATATGAGAGTAGACTCGACGTTTTTAAATCCTTCCCTTCCTGACAAGTACTTTTAGTCTAGGAACTTTCTCCCCTGCAATGAACAGTTTTGTGCGTATAGAAGAGTCTAGAAATGAAAATGGTAGATTAAAGTATACATTTTAAATTTTGATAGACACTGCCAAATTCCCTATCTTCTTTAAAATAATCTGGTTAACTTTTCCCTTAAAGACCTAGGTTCATCATTCCCTATACCCATTTTTATTCTGCTGTAATACAGTGATAGCCTCAGGTCGACAGAAGTCGATGGCACTATTCATTGCTACATTAAATTACATATGCTTTTTGTAATTTTTAAGTTTTCCTTTATTGTCATTTCACACTGTCATCACCGTATTGTCTACAGCACTTCTCTTCACTTCTATGGGAAAACCTGAAAATTCAAATGTGCTAAAATTAGGATCAAATCGAAACTTAAATGAGTACATAAGGGAAGTTATCACTATTTAAACATGAGTACATCCTGTAACTGTTATTTTAACGTCTCAGAAGCCCTTTTAACGTTTCTAAATTCTAGAGGGGGAGCTCTGGTAGCATAGTGGCTAAGGCACTCGACTGCTAACCAGAAGGCTGGCGGTTCAAACCCACCAGCCACTCCTCGGAAGGAAGATGGGGCAATCTACTTCTGTGGTGATACTGCCTCAGAAACCCAAGGAGGGGTCGCTATGAGTCAGGTCTGACTCAACGGCACATAACAACAACAACAAATTCTGGAGGAGTAAGGTTCTCAGAAGAGCTCTGGTAGCGTAGTGCCTAAGGCATTTGACTGCTAACCAGAAGGCTGGCGGTTCAAACCCACCAGCCACTCCTTGGAAGGAAGGCTGGGCAATCTACTTCTGTAGTGATACCTCCTCTGAAACCCAAGGAGAGGTTGCTATGAGTCGGGTCCGACTTGACGGCACATAACAACAACAACAACTGCCTCGGAAACCCAAGGAAGAGTCGCTATGAGTCGTAGACGCCTCGACAACAGTGGGTTTGGTTTGGTAACTTTTTCAAATCATCATTTTTGGACAGATGAAATATCATGGCTATTATTATTAATATACTAGTAAGTTCCCTGTTCATATTCTCATATGGAAAATATTTTTAAAAAAAAGAGTGGGCAAACAGATTAGAAAATTAACAAAATACCACTGTTCCAGTAAATGTAATAAAAACGGTATTAGTATATCATTATAAAAATATTCTAACTAATCTACCATTATACTCTCTTCCATTCCTACTCCCAGTCAGTTAGACCTTGGACTACTTTATGCTGGATATGTGGACAATTATGGTTTATCATTCATATATGCCTATTCTTTCTGGGAACATTACCTTAAATTTTCTTTGGATAATTACCCTTCCCCATCATTATCAGTACATCCATATATTTTCATCCATATATTCAATTGTTCAGGACAAGCACATAACCTAACCAGGGCCAGTATGACAAAAGAAGGCATGTGCTGGGATTTCTGAAGAAAACAGAATGCTGTAGGCTTGTACTTTTCCCATCCTTCCATCCTCTCCTCCCTTCTATATCCTTCTCTCTCCTTTTTTTTTCTTCCCTGTTCCCTCAAATTTACTGACAGGAAGACAATTTTTCTTATCCAGAACTGTGGGGATTTAAAGATATGAAAGCTAAAGCTAAGGGGGAAGAAAGGATGGTACTGAATAGAACTTGAGGATAACAGCAGCAAAGGAGGCAGAAGATATTATCTGACCCCTGAATCAAAATATACCTAGACTTTTCAGTCTTGTGTGCCTATTTAAGTTCCATTTTCTGTGACTTACAATATAATATAGTTAGAATCTTATACTATGGTGCCTAGTCTTTTTTATTAAGTTCCAATAAAACTACTTGTTGAAGTGTGATTTAATAATGATTTAGTTGCTTGAATAAAATCTTCAGATAAATTTTATTAGTTTTAAGACTGAACTTCTCCTTTTAAAACTTTTATCTTCTAACTCATATTCCAAAATTGCTTTAGTAATATATATCTAATTATTAACAGAAGTAAAATTCAGCTCAGCACACAATTTCCAAGTCTTAGAAAATGTGAAGAAATGGCTAAGGGTTTGGAAAGATTACTAAACCAAAAAGTTACAGTAGAATAAAAGTAATATTCATAAGTTTCTTTTTACTGACATTTTGTTTTCTGATTTTAGTATGTTAAGTATCTTTCTGGAATGAGAGCTACTCATGATGTCACTAGCCAATAGTCTGTGGTACTAGGCAGTGATTTAATTAAATCAATCATTAAACAGAACAATTACATAAAATTCAATCTAATTCTAATGAAAAACATACAATTTATCCTTTGGAATATCATATTTACTTACAAATTATCTAATACTCAATTGTTTGTGGTAGGGGGAAAAAGATCCCAGACTTAAATTTAATCAAAAGAGATTTTTATTAAACCAAGGCAAAGATAATCATTCAAATGAGAGATCTGCCATCATGTACCAGGCACAAGAGACTAGCAGAATCTACTGAATCACAGTCAGAGAGCAGCTAATAAACTGTTAAGAGTAGTAAGTGAAATTGAGAAAATTTTTATTGGATATTCATTTATATATCATTGGGAAAGGCAGGATAACAGAAGCAGGGAAGGGACCATGACTGGGATACTATATAATTACAGGTTAAAAAGAGGTAACAGGATTGGTTCTGGGGTTTTAATTACCTGGCTATGTGGTGGCTGGGGTCAACTCATGATCATGCAACCCTGAGTCATAGTCACAAAAGGTGGTTATAAGAAACTACCTGGATCCCAATCTTTAACTTAAGTCAGATAACATGCATCACGGAGCATTTCCTCCTTTGTTTTACTTAAGTACACTTACTAATTAACCAGCGGAGAAATAAAGTGTAGAAGTTTCTCCATCACATAACTAGATAAAAGGAGAAGTGGACCTTATTCTTGATTTTTCTTACTATGGCCTAGCAACTGTAAACCTTTTGAGGGTCTTCAATCTCCTTATCATGTTCAAGCAGATAATTTTTAAGAACTGAAAAAAATTTAACTTACCTCAATTGTTTCGCATAGTTCTGTTCAATTTCTATCCTTTCTTTAACGAATTTGGCATATCTTTCCAAGAAGTCAATTCCCCATTGAGTATGCTTGTCTAAGCTGTCGAACTGATCCTATAAAATAAAAGTTAAAAATGCACTGAAAATCTATTTATCCACAAATATCTTAACCAGCTTCTGATTTTTATACAGAGAGACAATGAGGGAAAGGGCTGGGCTCATCTCCAATTGGTCCCCACCTACCTCACACCCTTTAAGAGGTAGATACAGATTCCTCATTATAATCATGCCACTTTATGCCTGAATGCCTTTACTCATTTGGTTCCCCCTGGCTACAACACCCTCCCCTGGGCACCTTTTAGCAATTAACTCTATTCTTCCTTTGAGATTCAGTTTGGGCATTATGTCCTCTAGAAAATATCTCCTGAACTATCAGACTGGGATAAGAGGGCTTTGTCCAGACCCCCAAGTCTCCCTAAAAATTATAATCTTTTTTTTTTTCTGGGAGGTGATTTTTTAATATACTTTATTGCTTTTGGTGAAAGTTTACATACAAAATTAGGTTCCCACGTAACAATTCTACATAATTTGTTCATGATATCAGTTTCATTTTATACAGTGTGTCAGTGTTCACATTTCCATTCTGGTTGTTCCATTTCCATTAATCCAGTTTCTCTGCCCCCATGCCTTTTCATCTTTACTTTATAAGAAAGTGTTGACTATCTGGTCTCATATAGATGATTTATTAAACAGACACAGTACTTGTTGGTGAAATTGTTTATTTTATGAGTCAATCTGTTATTTAACTAAAAGATGACCTCATGGAACAGTTTTGGTTCAAGATTTAAAGAGTATCTCAGAACAGTAGTCTCGGAGAGTTCTCCAGTCTCAACTGGTCTAGCAAATCTGAACTTTCTAAGAATCTGAGTCTTGTTTCTCATTTTGCTCCCATCCTATCAGGATCCATCTATTGTGTTCCTTTATCAGACAATTTGCAGTGGTAGCCAGGCACCATTTAGTTCTTGTAGTCTCAGGGTAGATGGTCATGGTTCATGCAGACTATTAGTCCTGTGGATTAGTTTCTTCTCTGAGTCTCTGAGGTCCTTCATTCTCTTTTACTCTGGATACACAAAGACCAATAGTTTTATCTTAGATGGCTACTCACAAGTTTTTAAGACTCCAGATGCTACTTACCAAACTAAGATGTAGAACATAAACTTTATGTACACTATTATGCCAATCACATTGTCCCACAATACTACGGTCCTAAGCCCTAAGATCCTGTAAACAAATCTTGCAAGATATTTAATAAGTATTCATTTTTGTGCCCTCATGTGCTTTATTGTATATATAAATATATATAGCTGCATACACTTATATACACACACCTGCATATATATGTCTACACACACCCACCTATATAAACACATGTACGTACCTATACACATGCATGCATATATACACACACGTTGTTGTTGTTGTTATGTGCCATGGAGTCAGATCTGACTCACAGAGACCCCTCCTTGGGTTTCTGAGGTGGTAACACTATGAAAGTAGATTTCCCAACCTTCCTTCTGAGGAGTGGCTGGTGGGTTTGAACTGCCAGCCTTCTGGTTAGCAGTCAAATGCCTTAGGCATTACGCTACCAGAGCTCCTACATACATACATAACAAAAATTACTATCTTATTCACTTGCCATACTACATTAAGTGCAGGAACGATGTATCAATCAACTCTGAAATTCCAAAGCCTAAGCACCATACCTGGCATCATAACTGGCATTCAATTAAGTTTAGCTGAACAGAAACAAATTTACCTACGTTCAAATTCTGGACTCTGCAAGTTATCAGATGTTTGTTGTTGTTGTTAGTTGCCATCAAGTTGGCGCCAACTCACAGTGACCCTGTGTACAACAGAACAAAATACTGCCCAGTCCCACACCATCCTCACAATCCCTGCCATGCTTGAGCCCATCATTGCAGCCACTGTGTCAATTCACCCCCATTGAGCGTCTTCTCCTTCTTCACTGACCCTGTCCTTTACCAAGCATGGTATCATTCTCCAGAGAATGGTCCTTTCAGACAACATGACCGAAGTAGGTGACAGAAAGTTTGGCCTTGGACAAGTTACCAAGGCTCTTTGAACTTTTTACCATCTGATGTTGGGAAAACCACTACCCACCTCATAGAATTGTGATGATGCTATTTATTACAAATATTCTTCAATGCAGTATAAACATAACAGCACATATAAAGTATCACTGTCCTGTATAGCACTTCCAATCCAGAAAGACATTTTCCCATCCTCCTGCTGCCACAGAAATTATCATTTCTCATCTATCTTCGTTATCTGGTGCTGCCATAATAGATATACCACAAGAGGATGGCTTTAACAAACAAACTTATTTTCTCTCAGTTTAAGAGGCTGTAAGTGCAAATTCAGGGCACCAGCTCTATGGGAAGGCTTTCTTTGTCAGTTCTGGGTAAAGATCCTTGTCTCCTTTCAACATCTGTGGGCCTAACATTCCTTGTAGATCTCCATGTGTCTTGGCATCAATCTTCCCCTGGGTCTATTAAGTTCCCACTGCAGGACCCCAGATCCAAAGGATATACTCTGCTCCTAGCTCTTCTTTCTTAGTGGTAGTAGATCCCTCTGATCCCTACTTGTTTAATCTCCTTCATATCTCAAAAGAGAATGACTTAAAATACAACCTAAACCTGTAGATTATATACTGCCTCATTAGAATCACAGAGGACAGGACTCACAATATAAAGGATAATTACATCAAATCACAAAATGGAGGATAATTACATAATACTGAGAATCATGGCCTAGCCAAGTTGACATAAATTTGGGGAGGACACAATTCAATCCATAACACCATCCTTCAAGTATAATCTCCAAATTGCCTAATAACTTGGCAATGTCTTGGTCTTCTGTACAAAAAGTCCACAGTGATGACTAAAAATTCAAGTATCATTCTTTTTTACAACTTTGTTTTTTGTAATCATCCATGTTGTTGTTGTTGTTATGTGCCATCGAATCGGACCTGACTCATATAGCACAGTACCTAAGGCATTTGACTGCTGACCAGAAGGCCAGTGGTTCAAACCCACCAGCCACTCCTCTGAAGGAAGGTTGAGCAATCTATTTCCGTAGTGATTGTTGTTGTTGTTATGTGCCGTCAAGTCAAACCTGACTCATAGCTACCCCTCCTTGGGTTTCCGAGGCGGTATCACTATGGAAGTAGATTGCCCAACCTTCCTTCTGAGGAGTGGCTGGTGGGTTTGAACAACCGGCCTTCTGGTCAGCAGTCAAGTGCCTTAGGCACTATGCTACCAGAGCTCCTTAATAACCCATAGTTACATCAAATTTGTTATTTGTAAATGTATTATCTTCTTGTGTTTGCTTTTTATCTCTTTCTTTTATAAATTGGATTTCTCTTTCAAATTCAAATATTCTCAACCAAAAAAAAGAACGTTCTGAAACTGAAACAATGTTCCCTTACTTTTTCAAGTCGCTTCAAAGGCTTCTTCCATTGTCTTCTTCATCTACTTTCTTCAGCATCTAGATGAAGCATCCAAACACTTGTCCTTTGTATTTGGGGGGAGGGGGGTTGGTGGTTAAATACATATGTTACAAAAAATATGCCATTTCAATATTCTTCATATATACAATTTAGTAACATTATGCTCATTATGTTGTGCAACGATCATCATTATCCATTTCCAAATTTTTCCATTACCCTAAGCTCAGTGTCCCCTAAGCAATGAGATCCTCTTTTCCCCTCCCCTCCTGGTTCCTGAGTCTAGTAACCTATGATAAAAACAGGTCTGAATATACTTGCCTATTCTAGACTATTTCCTATAGTGGAATCATATGACATTTGCCCTTTTATTGCTGACTTATTTCACTCAACATGATGTTTCCAAGGTTCATCCATGTTGTGGTATGCAGAATTTCATTTATCTTTATGGCTAAGTAATATTTCATTGTATGTGTGTAGTATCACATTGTGTTCATCCATTCATCTGTTGATGGAATATTTAGGCTGTTTCCACCTTTTGGCTATTGTGAATAGTGCTGCATTGAACCCTGTGTGACTCCCTGCTTTCAAGCTTTTGGGGTATATACCTAGAAGTGGAATTACTGGGCCTCATGGTAATTCTAGAAGCTCTGGTGCTGTAGTGCCTAAGGCATCTGACTGCTAACCAGAAGGCTGGCAGTTCAAACCTACCAGCCACTCCTTGGAAGGAAGAACAGGCAATCTACTTCCATAGACATACCATCTCAGAAACCCAAGGAGGGGGTCCCTATGAATCGGAATCAACTTAATAGCAGTGAGTTTGGTTTTTGATTTTGGTATAGTAATTCTTCGTACATTCCATCTTCCAATTATTAATGGATATTTGCATCTGTTTCTGCTCATTTTGAGTCATGCCACATCAGCCAATGGAAGTCCCAAAAGCTTTGCTCTATCCATACCATTAAGGTTGTCTCTAGCCCAAGGAGTCAGCTCTTCCCCAGTCAAATTTTGAGTGCTTCCAACCTGATGGGCTCATCTTCCAGCACTATGTCGGACAATGTCTCAGGGCTTTCATAAAGTTTTCCAGTAATATATCAGACAGGGTTTCACTGCTGTTCATAAGGTTTTCACTGGCCAATTCTTTGAGAAGTGGATGGCTTCTTCCTTCTGAGTCTGTCTAAGCCCAGAAGCTCCACTAAAACCTCTCCACCATGGGTAACCCTGCTGGCATTTTGCAACACAATGGCATAGCCTCCAGCCTCAGAGCAACATGTAAGCCACCACAGGACGACAAATTGACAGACAAGTTCATCTCCCTTAGTTGTTCCTAATTCCTCTACACCTGCATATCTCAAGCCCAAGCCTTAATATAGAGCTACACCAAGCAAAAAGCAGCTTCCAAGCCCCAGGGCTGCCTACCTCAGGCACTGGCCTTAATAAAGAGCTACACCCAAGTAAAAAGCAGAAAGTACGAAGTATGAATCTAGGAAAATTGGAAGTAGTCAAAAATGAAATGGAACGCATAAAGATCAATATCCTAGGCATTAGTGAGCTGAAATGGACTAGTTTTGACCACTTTTCA